AGCAAAAACATGCATGCAAATGTGTACAGCAGCTTAATTCATGATCGCCCAAAACTGGAAGCAACCAAGATGTCCTGCAGTCGGAAAGTGGATAGACAAACTGTCATAATCCGTATAATGGAACACTATTCAGCACAAAAAAAAAAAAAAGAGAGAGAGAGAGAGAGAGAGAGCTATTGAGCCAAAAAGATGGAGAAACCATACAGGCATATTGCTGAGCAAAAGAATCCAGTCTGAAAAGGCTGCATTCCATCTGATTCCTATAACATGGCGTTTCAGAAAAGGCAAAACTATTTTGACAGTAAAAAGATCAGTGCTTGCCAGGGATTCAGGGAACAGAGGCGAGGGAGGCAGAGGTGGTGTATGAGGGACTTCTAGGGCAGTGAAACTATCCTGTATGACACCATAATCCTGGATACATGACATGATGCATCAGACAAGATCCATATAAACAGGAAGAGTGAATCTTAATGTGAACTACGGGCTAACTTAATGTATCAACACGGGCTCATCAGTTGTAACAAATGTACCACAATAAAGCAAGACGTTCATAATAAAGGGCAACTGGGGAATGGGGTAGGGGAGTGAATATATGGAAATCTATGTACTATTTACTCAACTGTTCTATAGATCTAAAACGGTAGTAAAAATAAAATCTCTTCTTTATTTTGAAAACCAAGTGGATGATTTTCTGAGCCTGGCCTCTAACCCCCATTCTCTCCACAGACACAGTTGTATTATTTGGAAGTTTTGAGAATACACAGCATCTTTCCGTAACACAGCCACTGTCTAGGTGGAGAGACAGCTGCACTTGGTTTGTTTGGAACCTTGCCAAGACTTGGTTACCATTTCAGAAAGTCGCATCACCAATAGCAAGCTAGTGGTCCTTGAGTGGTGGGCTGACCACCCGTCCGCACTGTGCGCACACGGTTAGATTCACTGTGGTTTTATATTTTTTTAAAGAATTTATTTATTTATTTGACAGAGATCACAAGTAGGCAGAGAGGCAGGCAGAGAGAGAGAGTGGAGGAAGCAGGCTTCCTGCTGAGCAGAGAGCCCGATGTGGGGCTCGACCCCAGGACCCTGGGATCATGACCTGAGCCGAAGGCAGAGGCTTTAACCCACTGAGCCACCCAGGCATCCCTCACTGTGGTTTTACAAAGAGGGGGGCTCCCATCCCACTGCCCAACTGTGTCTGAGCATTTATGTATTCAAACACACACTATTTTACTACTAAATCCTTTTATTTATCTTGTGTAGTACAATTAGGACATTATACATACATTATACTGTGTGTGTGTGTGTGTGTCTGTACAGATATGTTTTATTACATATTAATTCACTGCAGGAGAGCAACAGAGCATTTGCTATATTTGTGATTGACTAAGTCTGAGAGTTGAAGATCACTCCTTCGTTTTTTTTTTTTTAAGATTTTATTTATTTATTTGACAGAGAGAGAGATCACAAGTAGGCAGAGAGGCAGGCGGCGGGGGGGGGCGGGAAGCAGGCTCCCCGCCAAGCAGGGAGCCCAATGCGGGGCTTGATCCCAGGACCCTGAGACCATGACCTGAGCTAAAGGCAGAGGTTTAACCCACTGAGCCACCCAGGCGCCCCTGAGAACCTCTCCTTTAAATGGAAATCCAGACTCTTTCCTCCTGTCCTCACCAGCAATCTCAGCCAGCCTCCTGCTCCCTCAAGGCCTGCCAAAGGGATCTGTTTGTGTGTCTCAGAAGGCGCCAGCATTCCAGATTCCCTGGTCTTGGTACAGGCTGTTCTCTCCCTAAAATGCCTTCACCTTCACCTTCCTTCACTCACTGTTTCAACAAATGCAGTGTCCCCAGGCTCAGTTCCTCCTGGCCTTTCTTTGAAAAACCTGAACCATAGCTGTGCCCTCCCTGCAGTCCCTTTTACTTAATTTTCCTTATTGCTTTTTTAAGATTTTATTTTTAAGTAAGCTCAACACACAACGTGGGTCTCGAACTCACAAGCCGGAGATCAAGACTCACCTGCTGCTCCAGCTGAGCCAGCCAGGTGCCCTTACCTAATTGTCTTTAAATGATTCACTGTTCCAGAAATTAATTTTGAATTTATATTAAATTACAAACAAATTTATCTTTTATACTATTTATTAATTTATTCTTTTTAAAGATTTTATTTGTTTATTTGACAGAGAAAGTGAGAGCACAAGCAGAGGGAGCGGCAGAGGGAGAAGCAGGCCGGGGCTCAATCCCAGAACCCTGGGATCATGACCTGAGCCAAAGGCAGTCGCCCAACCAGCTGAGCCACCCAGGCATTCCGATACTTTTTTTTTTTTTAAGATTTTATTTATGTATTTGACAGAGAGAGAGAGATCACAAGTAGGCAGAGAGGCAGGCAGAGGAGGAGGGGGAAGCAGGCTCCCTGCTGAGCAGAGAGCCTGATGTGGGGCTCAATCCCAGGACCCTAGGATCACGACCCCAGCCGAAGGCAGAGGCTTTAAGCCACTGAGCCACCCAGGTGCCCCGTCCTATAATTTTTTTTTAAAGTATAGTTGACACACAGTGTTACATTAGTTTCAGGTGTACAATAAACACATTTCTTTTTAAATTGAATAAATTATAAAAAATAAAATAAAAAATTATAAAAATTCAATCTTCTCTTATTTTAACAAACTTATATTTTAATTTATTAATGTTTAATGTTTATTTAATTCTAATAAATCTACAAACATTTATATTATACATGTTATTTTTCAAAGAAGAGTTCATATCATTATCATAAATACGAAGAAGCCTCAATAGCCCTAAAAATAAGGCAACAATAAAAATAGAGAAGGAAGGGCGCCTCGGTGGCTCAGTGGGTTAAAGCCTCTGCCTTCGGCTCAGGTCATGATCCCAGGGTCCTGGGATTGAGCCCCACATCAGGCTCTCTGCTCAGCAGGGAGCCTGCTTCCCTTCCTTTCTCTCTGCCTGCCTCTCCGCCTGCTTGTGATCTCTGTCAAATGAATAAATAAAATATATATTTTTTAAAAATAGAGAAGGAGGGGTGTCTGGGTGGTTCAGTTGGTTAAGCCACTGCTTTCAGCTCAGGTCATGATCCCAGGGTCCTGGGGTCCTGGGGTCCTGGGGTCATACAGGGCTCCTTGCTCAGTGGGGAGCCTGCTTCTTCTTTTCTCTCTGCCACTCCCCCTACTTGTGCTTGTGTACTCTCCCTCTCTCTGTCAAATAAATAAATAAAATCTTTTTTAAAATAGGGGCTCCTGGGTGGCTCAGTGGGTTAAGCCTCTGCCTTCGGCTCAGTTCATGATCCCAGGGTCCTGGGATTGAGCCCCACATCAGGCTCTCTGCTCAGTGGGGAGCCTGCTTCCCCCTCTCTCTCTCTGCCTGCCTCTCTGCCTACTTGTGATCTCTGTCAAGTAAATTTTAAAAAAAATCTTTAAAAGAAAATCTTTTAAAAATTAAAGAAGGAACATAAACTTTATTAATTTCTGTTTAAACAAAGTTGTCAGCAGCCTCCCTGAAGCCATCTCTTTGTCAGAGAAAGAGGGAGAGAGACCAACATGTGCTAGAAACATGTTAGCACCAAGTTGAGACTTTCCCCTTGACATATGTTGAAGGCTTGAAAGCAAACTGAAGAGAGAATAACTTTTTCTTTCAGTGTAATTTAATGCTGTCCCTTTTCTCCCTCAATCGCTGTATTTATTACAACCCATTTATCGAGGACCTGCTACCAACCAGGCAGGAGCACCAGGTGTTTGCAGTAATAAAACACTGGCCCAGACCAGCACAGTCTTCCCATAGACTCACAGTCGAATGGAGAAACACACACGTAATCTGGAAGTGGTCGTAAAATTTCATTGCTTATGAAAGTCATTTGTGGTCTGGAGCCTCTCACTTCTCCAGCATCCCCTGTACGCAGGGGAACTGCAGAGCAAACAGATCCATTTGTAAATTACTTGAGCTAGAGCAAATTAATTCCAAAATTGCAGCGGTTTATAATCTTTTAGAAGTTTTTCACAGGAAAAACAAAAAAAGTAGGAGGTGGGTGCGTCTTAATAGGTTTGATGTGATGCGACCTGGGGCCGCCCGAGAAAGTTGTTTGTTTGTTTGCTGGCTTGGCTGCAGCGCTGGGAGAACGTCTCCGGGTCACCCTTTCCTCCTGAGCCTTTGCTTAACCCCTTGCTGCCCGGAATGCAGCTCAGCCTCACTGTCGCCCAGCCCGCCTGGACTCCCCAGCTGGGCCCACGCCTCCGCAGGACGCCCCAAAGGCCCGGCGCTTCCCCAGTCACAGCTTGGAGGATAAGAAGCCGTCGGTCCGTCTCTCTTCCAGACCCGCCTGCGGGCTCGGACAGCACCGCACATGGCCTTCTCCTTGGCCTCCCGAAGCACCCAGCTCGGCGCAGCCCCGCAGGACCGCTGGTGACAGACGCTCAGGTTACCCCTGGACAAGCCAGCTCCTCCGCGGGCTCCCGAGTTACCCCGCGCTGCGCGGGTCCGACACCACCTCGGAACTGGCGGAGTGACCCGGGCCGCTCGCCAGCTCGGGGCGGGGGAGGGGCGGGGTACCTCCCCTACCGCCTCCCCCACCCCTCCCGTCGAGGTCGGTGACCCGCGCCCGCGCGGCGGGGAGGCCCCGGGGACCTTCTCAGGCCAGCTGCCTCTGAGCCACCCGGGACCACGAGGGTAGTCGTGGGTCCTCGAGCTCCAGCGGGTCCAAAGCCTGAGTCCAGAGTCCGGGCTAGGAGGAGGTGGGGAGGGGTGGTACGACCCTCTGTCCCCGCCCCGGAGGCGGAGCGAGGTCCGAGCCCGAGGAGCCTGACACCCTTGGAAATCGGTCCCGGCCTTCCTCCCCCGCTCCCGCCTCGCCCCCGCCCCTTTCGGGGAGACCCGACCCCCTCCCTCTGTCCGCCGCCCACAAGACTCAGTATTCCCGATCCCCCGGCCCTCCGGCCCCGGCGTAGGTGCAGGTGCAGGTGCAGCGCGCCACCTCCCTCCCATCCCGGCGCATCCCTCTGGGCGGCCATGGCGCGAGGAGACGCCCCACAAGACAGGCGAGTTGGGGACCCAGTGGGGTGCGGACGGGGATCCGGGTGGCGGTGGCCAGCGCAGACCCGCTGCCTTCGGGCGCTCCAAGGCTCAAAGCAGACTAGATGGAACTACAATTCCCATCAGTCTCCTCCCTCAGCTACCTGAGCCAGGGTAATGGGGGTTGTAGTCCGCTCTGCGGAGGGGGCGGCCTGGCAGGGGGCGGGGAGGCGATGCGTCCTCAGGGTGACCTTCTGACTGATCCCCACAGCTACCACCTGGTCGGGATCAGCTTCTTTATCCTGGGCCTGGGCACGCTCCTTCCCTGGAACTTCTTCATTACGGCCATCCCGGTGAGACTTGGCTAGAGTGCCCAGCCTCATGGCCACAACCACCATCGCCTTGGACGCGAGGAATACCAGGCGCTTTCCCACCGCGCCGCCTTTGACTCCTCATTATGCCTGTTTGAGCGTTTGTCCGCTGAAGCAAAGAGCCTCAGAGAGGGGAGGCGCCCCGCTCACAGATAGGAAACGTCAAGGTTTCGGGGACGCCCAGATCCTAGAGGGGCAAGGCCACCAACGGGGCGGGGAGCTGTGGAACTAGCCAAGAACTACCCACCCACCACCCCCGTTTGTCATTATTCCCTGGCTAGTCATTCCTGGGCTAATCCACTCCCAAAGTGGGTTATCCAAGCCTTTGGTTTTCATTGAATAAAAACAAATTATATTCATTCATCCAACAAACAGTTAATAATGTGCATCTACTGTGAACCAGGCCCTGTTCTTGGCACTGGGGCTATAGGGGGAAACACAACAGAGGAAACCTCCGCCCTCTTGGAGCCTGCATTCTCTCAAGGGAAGGCAGAAATGTGGGGTTTGTATTCTCTTTAGGACTGAGTTATTCATACATATTCAGTGCAGCAACTTTCCAGATGCCTTTTCAGTGTCTGGCTCTCTGCTGGGCCCTGGAGACCCAAAGTTAAATCAGCCCCTGGTCTTGAAAAAGACTTGTGTGCCAAAGAGCTATTAATAATTTAATAGGGCACCTGCCACTCCAGGCTTGGAGCAAAGTCCTTTGGGTCCCCGGTGGGGGTGGGGGTGGGGGTGGGGGAGGGAGTAATTCCTTCTGCTTCATAGAAGAGGTGATTTGTAACTTGGGAGAAGGGTAGGTAAAGCATGGGAGTTTGGGGGTTGGGAGGTAGCAGTAGGAAAGGGAGAAGGCATTCCAGGTGGAGAAGACAGCCTTGCAAAGGCACTCAGGCAGGGGAATGCCAGCCTGTTCAGAGAAAGGGCCAGAGCCTGGGAACCTAGAGCTTAGCAGGATGGAGCAGGAGATGCAACACAAAAGGGAGGTCAGGATCTGGTTCTGAAGGGCTCCCACTGCTGTTTCAAAATCCTGGGGGTTTGCCCTGAAGGCAACAGGGAACCATGGGTAGGGGGGAGGAGTAAGTTAAGCAGAAGCTTAATGAGTGTGTGTTCCAGAGGGAATACAGTTGGTCAGCACTTAGGCCGGGCCTGGCTTACAGTAGCCACTCAGTAAATCTTCAGGAATCTGGAAGCTGCTGCAGGAACGGGGGTAGAGGCTGGAACCAGGGCTCTGCAGAGGAGGGGTGATTCAAAGATGGAGTAAGGCCCAAGCTGGGGGTTCTTAGGGCTTGGGCTCTGTCCCAGACATCAGCTGTTCAATTCAGGGAACATTCATCAAGCTCTGACTGTGTGCCAGGTGCTAAGATCAGTACAAGGACAGACAGCTCCTGCAGATTTTAACTGAGCAATGGCAAGCATGGGAGGAGACGGAGAGGAAAAGCTGGCGGGTTCCTCAGGGTAAGTCGGAGGGTGACCTGTACCCCCTCCCCTGGCATCCTGGCAGTACTTCCAGGGCCGGCTGGCAGGGGCCAACACCACCACGGGGACCCTGGACAGCAACCACACCGGCCCTGCCGACACCTTCAACTTCAACAACTGGGTGACGCTGCTGTCCCAGCTGCCCCTGCTGCTCTTCACGCTCCTCAACTCCTTCCTGTACCAGTGGTGAGAGGCCCCGCCCCGCGGGCTCCCTGCAGGCTGCCCCTCTGTGGTCCCTCCACCGCCCCTGCTAAGGAACTCCATCCATCCCTGGGCCCAGGGAAGACCTCCCATCCTTCCTCCACTCCCCCTGCATGTCCCATCCAGCTCCCGTTGTCCAACCCTGGGCTCCATCTCTTGCCTGCCTCCCCCTGCTGGGCCGGGGGTTCAGCCAATGCCCACTCCGCCCCTACCTATGAGCAGCGTCCCTGAGACGGTGCGGATTCTGGGCAGCCTGCTGGTCATCCTGCTGCTCTTTGCCCTGACGGCGGCGTTGGTCAAGGTGGACATGAGCCCTGGGCTCTTCTTCTCCATCACCATGGCGTCTGTTTGGTTCATCAACTGTGAGCACCGCCGCCCCTCCCCACCTCCCCACCTCCCCACCCCCTGCACCCAGGGCTTCAGCTGAGCCTCTTCTTTGTAACTGAAAGGGCCCAACGTATCCCAGAAGGAAAGACAGCAGCGGCTGCACTCCTATCCCTGAGGAAAAACTGAGCCCCAGCGGGAACAGAAAAGTCACTTGTCCCAAACCCACAGTGACCTAAGATCAGGTCTCCTAGCCCCTAGTCCCTCAGACCTATGGCTGCACCTGAGAAGAAGAATGAATGGGACGGTGTTACACCAGGATGCCCAGAGTCTGATGCCTGCCTGACCTAGTCCAGGGTCTCCTGTGTACCCTGCCACCGCCTCCTCCAGGGAGCCTCTAAGGCCTGCCTCATTGAGCGACAGCCCCCACTCTTCTCCCTCCACAGCCTTCTGTGCAGTTCTGCAGGGCAGTCTCTTCGGGCAGCTGGGCACCATGCCTTCCACCTACAGCACCCTCTTCCTCAGTGGCCAGGGCCTGGCTGGGATCTTCGCTGCCCTGGCCATGCTCATGTCCATGGCCAGTGAGTGGACTTGGGTGGTTGGGGGGGCGGAAGTGGCCTCTGGGATTCCGGGGAGCAGACAAAGTGTGCTAGGAGTGAGATGCCTTGGGTTCTGGGTAGAGATGGAGGTGATGGTGAGCTGGGGTTGGGTTTGGGGGTAGGGAGTGGGGCTCTTGGGCTCTATAGTGAGAGAATGATCAGGTGAGGGCTGGGTTAACCTGGGGCCTGGGGCAGGATTCCTGAGGCTGACGCTGGTAAGTGGCAGCAGCCTGGGGTGCAGGGAAGGGGGGACAGGTTTAAGATTCAGGTAAATTTGGTTGGAATCCTAGTTCCACTGCTCCCCAGCCAGGGGCACTGGACATCTGTGTCAGTTTTCCCACTGAAATGCTTCTTAAGAGTTCTGTCCTCAGACTGTAGGGAGCATGCAGTAAAAATGAGCACATAATAGGTGCTCAACAAAAGTGACAAGTAGGAAGGAATGAAAGAAGCAAAGGGCTGGGCCCCGGGGCCCTGCACGGGTTCCTGAGTTTTGTCAGCCAGCAGAGTGGAAGAGGCCAGGAGGTGAATCTGAGAAGTGCATGATGGGAAGTGGGACAAGAGTCATTAGCCCCGCCCCTACCCCACCCGTGGGAGCCAGCGGGACTAGCCCCCTCCACTCTGCAGCTGAAGTTTCTGCACAGGTGGCGTGGATGCCCAGACCTCCGCCCTGGGGTACTTCATCACACCCTGCGTGGGCATCTTCATGTCCATCGTGTGTTACCTGAGCCTGCCCCACCTGGTGAGCCTGGTACTGGGCTCGAGGCCCCACTTCAGAGCATCTCAGATACAGCTCTGAGTCTGAGGCCCTGCGAGAGGCCAGGGGAGGAGGAGGAAGGGACCTGATCCCCAGAGGAGTCAGCCACTGGGGGACTCCAGCCTCGCAGTCCACAGGGTGGAGAGGGAGACAGACGCCTCCGCCACGCCAGGCAGGGCCAACGCTTTCCTTCTGCAGGAGTTTGCCCGCTACTACCTAGCCAAGAAACCGTCACAGGCGCCAGGGCAGGAGCTGGAGACCAAAGCTGAGCTCCTCCAGTCTGGTGAGTTCAGGACCCTGCGTGGCGGCGCACAGCGCGGGGGTGGGGGGGGTACCCAAGGGAGGCCGAAGCTACCTCCGCAGGGAAGCGTTTCCCCTCTGGGACACCTCCCCAGCTGGAGTCCTCACTCCTAGTAGACTCGTGTGAGCAGGCCCAGAAGAAATCCAGTGGGAGCAGAGCCATCCCTGTTGGTTTAGAGCGCCGGTTTCCCCCTCTGTAAAATGGGGAGACAGTAGAGCGCCAACACGCTAGTTCTGGGTCCAAATGCATTTGTTCAAATCCCGGCCTCACGGCATCCAAGCTGGGTGACCTTAGGCAAGTCCCTTAACCCCTCTGAGCCTCCATTTCTTTATCTGGAAAGGAGTAGCAGGGAGATAATCTGTTTAAGGTGCTTAACTCTGCCCGACACACGTATGTGCTTCCTAAGAAGTAGCTTAGCATATTTCCCTGGTTAATTCTCTTTGCCTACATCCCGGGCTGGAGGAGAACCACTTGTTTTAACTGCTGGGAATCACTCTCCATGGAGCCTGGTTGCCACAGGCATGACGCTGACCTCCCCTCTTGCCCCAGATGAGAAGAATGGTATTCCCAACAGCCCCCAGAAGGTAGCCCTGACTCTGGATCTGGACGCTGAGAAGGAGCCAGAGCTGGAGCCTGAGGAGCCCCAGAAGCCAAGAAAACCTTCAGTTTTCATTGTCTTCCAAAAGGTTTGGCTTGGATGTGGCCTCCAACCACCAGCCCTGGGGAAGAGAGAGCTACTCTCTCCAGTCCTCTCTAAAGACCCTTAAAATGGAGTGGGGCCTTCATGCTCCCCTGGTCCACTTCAAGGTGCCAGAGTCATAGTGGGTCAGGAACACAGCAAGGCCAGGCCTCGGGTGTCTTGCCTCCGGGGCCAGTGCTTGGAGGCTGGGGCTGCGTTTGGGGCCCTAGTTGGCCCCGCCTACTTACACCCCTGCCTCTGGCTCTCAGATCTGGTTGACAGCGCTATGCCTTGTGCTTGTCTTCACTGTCACTCTGTCTGTGTTCCCTGCAATCACGGCCATGGTGACCAGCTCCACCAGTCCTGGGAAGTGGAGTGAGTGCTGGGAAGCAGAAGAGGGCAGGGCAGGGGAGAGGGAGGGAGGAGGGCAGAGGAATTAAGGGAGGAGGAGGGGGGAGGGAGGAGGGACCAGGATGAGCCCTGTTTCTCTCCCAGGTCGGTTCTTCAACCCCATCTGCTGCTTCCTTCTCTTCAACATCATGGACTGGGTAGGACGGAGCCTGACCTCCTACTTCCTGTGGGTGAGCATACCTGGGCTGGGGGCACCTGATACTTCCAGGAAGCAGCTGGGGATCAGAGGGTGTGAAAGAGCCCAGAAAGATGATCTCCCCAAAGTCGGACCAATCTAGGTCTGACAACAGAACAGCTGGCCAAGAGGTAGTGAGCTCCTGGCCCCTGGAGGTATGCAAAGCAGGGCTTGGACAATGAGCTCCTTGAAAGCAGAAGTCATGTCCAATTGACCTGTGTCCCCAGCATCCAGCCCAGAGACCCTTACCTGGAGGTTCCTGTCCCATGTGAGAGGTTGGACAAGATTCCGAGTGTCTGGATTGCCTTTAGCCAAGGTGCTACTTCTCTAAATGAAGTCTTCCAAGGAGATAGAATGAGGCAGACCAAAGAGGAGCTGCTCTGATCCCAGCTGGGCTGGGGTCTGGATCCCCAGCCTCCAATCTCATTCAGCAACCCCACCTGCCCCAGAGGGGTCTGTGCAACCCCCAGGCGTCCTTGGAGGAGCCTAGCTGGGAAACCAAAGATGCCATGTAAGGTCTCCCCCAGTTCTGCTACAGAGAGAGGCCAACCTGAGCTCAGAAGGGACGGAGGGGGCTAGCCCCCGGCCAGTCCTTGATTGCTGGGTGGCCTGGGCCCAGCCCCTCACCCTCCAGAGGCCTCTGTGCTGGGCCCTCCCCAGCACACACAGAGTAGGAGGTCAGGGCAAGTGACAGAGTCCAGCCGGGGCGGGCTCCCAAGGACGGCCCTCAGCCCAGCTTCTGCCACAGCCGGACGAGGACAGCCGGCTACTGCCTCTGCTTGTCGGCCTGCGAATCCTGTTCGTGCCACTCTTCATGCTGTGCCACGTGCCCGAGAGGTCCCGGCTGCCCATCCTCTTCCCACAGGATGCCTACTTCATCACTTTCATGCTGCTCTTCGCTGTATCCAACGGTTATCTGATGTCCCTCACCATGTGCCTGGCGCCCAGGTATGGGGGCAGGAGGGAGGGCCTGGGGCTGGGGAGGTGGGCCGATGGAGAGGGGGCCCATTCGGCTTCTAGCCAGCCTGGACCTAGCTGTCTCTAGGCCTCGCTGGTGACCCCCCGGCCCCGGCACACTGAGCCTGCCTCGGGGCAGGAGCTGGGGAGACGGAGCCTGAGCAGGTGGGGTGGCTGGGGGGTGGGAGGCATGGGGAGACACATTCCTGCCAATGAAATAGCCCGGGGACAACTTCCAGAGCCTCCTCTCTGGGCCTAGGCCCCAAAGCCTCTCCAAATTCTCAGTTGAACGTGGAGCTAATGTCTTGATCCAGTGGGGGATCGTGGGCTATTTACTTTAGGGACAATGGAGTTGAGAATCCAGAGAGAGTAAAGGTGACAGGGAGGACAAGGCTGGGACGTTTTGTCGCGCTCGAAGGCAGTGGAATCTAGAATCCTCTAAAACTGGGCCTGCGGGGGCCCGAGAGATGTCCTTGGCAGGGGCCTGGCTTGATAGATCGGGAAACTGAAGTCCAGAGAGAAGGGCCTAGTTACGGTGACCGAGAGGTGGGGTCAGCCCAGACTAGAGTTCAGGTGCCCTTTTGTAAGGGGAGCAGAGGGCACTGGTGCTGGGTCAAGACTTGGCCTGGTGTCCCCTAAGAGTTCCTCCTCTTGTGTGTCCTAGGCAGGTGCTACCACACGAGAGGGAGGTGGCTGGCACGCTCATGACCTTCTTCTTGGCCCTGGGGCTCTCCTGTGGAGCCGCCTTTTCCTTCCTCTTCAAGGCTCTGCTCTGAAGTGTTCCGTCCAGGGCTCGCCCACAGCTCTCTCCTCGCTGCCCCTTCGGAGCTGAGACCCCAACGCAGGGGGAATGGCGAGCCAGGTTCAAGCCTCTGCTGGGCGGGGGCCCCTTGGTCTGGAGGTGCCAGGAGGAGGTGGGGTGCTGCTCTCCTTCCCTGGCTGGTGTCCACTTGGGAGCTGCAAGGAAAAATTCACCAGCGGTCATTCTGACCCTCCCCCAGGAATGGAGCCAACACACGGAGACGGACTGTTTAGAGACGCACAAGACCTCATCCCAAGGGCGCCAATCAGGGAAAAGAGGGCCAAGAGTATATCTGTTAATTTCAAGAAATGCACTTGCTAACCTGTGGGGATCGGAGGCCACCAGTGGGGTCTTGCCAAGGGTGTGGCTGGTGGGGCCCAGCCCCTGGCTGAGAGTAGGAGTGGGGATTTCCTCATCTCCCTAGGCCTCAGTAACCCCAGGATCAAATCTCTCAGACCCCAGGGCAGAGGATGCCAGGAAAGCTGAGGGCGGCAGGGAGAAGGAGCAGACATTAGGGATCTGAGGGTACTCACGGGACCCTGTGGGTCCCAAACAGTGTTTTCATTGCCAACACCTACCTAACTGTCTCCACTCCCCAGAGCCCAGCTGGGCCTCGGTCTCAGAGCTGCAGTGGGCTTTCACGGGTGCGCGTCTCTTTACAGTGTGCAAAGCTCTTCTGTCCCCGAGTCACACTGAGATCTTTGGGGGGAGCCAGGCAGGGATCGTGCGCTCCCCAAGTGCAGGTGAGGAAACCAAGTCTCAGGGGGAAACGATTGGTCCGTGGCAGAGCTGGGACCCAGCCCCCACCTCCCTCCTCCCTGTAGGTGCTGTTCTTTCTGCCCACAACCTGCTTCTCTTTCCTTCAAGAGGCTCAAGGCAGGAGTCCTAAGCACTTACTCCACATTTTGGCTGTTCCTCCCTCCAACCCTGCTCCTGGGTCTAATAACAACCTTCTTCATTTGTATAATTGGTTCACTGAGTCTTTATTTCCAAAGCACTTTCAGCTCTATTGGCTTTGATGAGCCGGGGGGGCGGTAGGGCTGATGGTACCCGTTTGACAGATGGGATAACTGAGGCCCTGAGAGGGGTGGAGATTCATGGGCATCCCTGTGCTGGGCCCTCTTGACCACACAGTGGCCTGTGCTCCTGGGCAGAGCACCTGGCTGCGTGAACAGCTATCGCTCTCCCCCTCCACTGGGGTCCTCTGCCTCCCCAGCCCTACCCCTTCTCAAAAATGGAGCCTCAGGGAGACAGTCGGTGAATTTTCTGGAGGGATGGACAAGAGTCCTGCCTCATCACATGCCTGTACTATCCTGCCCAGCCCAGAGAAAAGCGAAGCCATTGGAGGCACCGGCCTTTCTGCCCACATGCCCTCCCGCCTGCCAGGACTGTTCACTGAGCAGCTATTAAATACCCAGCCCTGAGCCAGCACGGGTTCCCTGCTCAGAGGGGAGATAGGACCTTGGGGGCTGAAATGAAGCCACAGGGCAGAACCCCCAAGGGAGGGTTCATTCCTTTGACTACTGTTCACTGTGCCAGATCCTGGCTGGTCTGGTGAGCCTGACACAAAGGAGACAGGTCCCCACCCCAAGGCCATGGGAAGTAGAATGTAACACGGGATGGGGTCTGTGAGGGCCCTTCAGAAGTGTGGAATGTAAAATTCCCAAAAACGATGCTCTGGAAAGTCAAGGTGGCAGCTCTGAGGAAGTGTCCCCTCAGCGGGGCCTCAAAGGAAGGAAAAATGAGTCATAGTCTTTGTTGTGTCTCCCCCCACCCCTGCAAACACACACAAGGCCCAGGTGGGGGAGGGGCGTCCCAGGCAGAGACAGTAAGGCGGTGGCATGGACACAGCATATTCAGGAAACTCAGGGAACAGTGGGGACTTCTGGTTGGGGGGATTGGGGAGCCCCTAAGATGTGAGAGAGCGAGAGGGGAGAGGATGAGGCTGGAGCAGTGGATTGGGGATGAATGATGAAGGACCTTAGCAATGAGGCATAAATTGGGGGTAGACAGAGGAGAGATCCAGGAGAGAAAAGGGTGGTTGCCTCTTCAGAGGCTGCTTAACCTAGTGGTTAAGTGCGGGTGAGCTGATCCAGCATTCTTTTCTTTTTTTTATAGAAACTATTTTGGTTTTTTTTTTTATTTTTAGATTATTTATTTATTTATTTGACAGAGAGATCACAAGTAGGCAGAGAGGCAGGCAGAGAGAGAGGAGGATGCAGGCTCCCTGCTGAGCAGAGAGCCTGATGCGGGGCTCAATCCCAAGACGCTGGGATCATGACCTGAGCCGAAGGCAGAGGCTTAACCCAGGTGCCCCTGATCCAGCATTCTGGGTTCAAAGCCAGGTCCTTTCACGGACAAGCACTGGGAATGGGGACTTGCCTGTCAGTGTGTGGAGTCCTGGGGAGAGGTCGGGGTTGGAGTACAGGCAGATGTCTACCAAACGGGGCTTGTAGTCCTAAAGGAACCTCGTGCAGACCACGAGGCCTCGTCGGACCGCCTGGCTGGGAATGGTGCGAACAGGACCACTCACATCCTGGGCCCCCTTCTCCTTCTCCACCTTCACAGACTGTTGCTTTTTGAACCCAGACCTGCCAGACCCACCCTCGCAGTCGGGGCAACAGTCCCAGGGAACCCACTGGTGCTGGTCTACAGTCTTCGAGAGCAAGCCCACGCTGCGCTGAGTGGTGGAGGGAGGATGGGCCCAGAAAGAGGACACTCATCCCTCAGATATCCTTTTGATGTCACAACTTGGAATTCCTTCTTCCCATCCTCCTTCCTGGTAGACTCAGCCCAACCTGCCCATTCAGTCAGTATGCAGCCGGCTTTCGGTACCAGAAACATACTGAGGCCGATGGGCTGCGTCTGTCCGTTCCTCTCCTGATGCCCAGTCCCCTGGCCCCCACCAACTCCCCAGCCACCTCCCCAGCCTGACGCAGTCCTGCCAGCACACCCAACTTCCCTCAGAAGCAGCCAGCTGCCATCAGCAAACACCTGTAGAGGGCGTTATGTGGCAAGCCCTGAGATAGGGCTGGTGGAGAGACAAACATTTGAAGGCCAATCCTCGACCTCGAGTTTCTCACCCTTTTATGAGGACGAGGCCTCCTGGTTTGTGAATTGATGCAACTTTCCAATGAAAAGGCAGAGGTTGTCAGATAGATTAAACAATGATGCAACCGTATGCTGTTTACCAGAAACTCACTTTAGAGCAAAAAACACAAATGAATTGAAAAATGAAAGAATGAGAAAAGGTATTCCATGCCAATAGTCATCAAAAGACAGCCAGAATGAATGTACTAATATCAGACAAAAGAGAGTTCACGTCAAGAATTATTTAAGATGGGGCACCTGGGTGGCTCAGTGGGTTGAGCCTCTGCCTTCGGCTCAGGTCATGATCCCAGTGTCCTCGGATAGAGCCCCACATCGGGCTCTCTGCTCAGCAGGGAGCCTGCTTCCCCCTTACCCTTTGCCTGCCTCTCTGCCTACTTGTGATCTCTGCCTGTCAAATAAATAAATAAAATCTTTTTAAAAAAGAATTATTTAAGAGACAAAGGAGGATGTTATATATTCATAAAAGGGTATAATAATTATAAACATATGCACACCTAATAACAAAATCCCAAAAAGCATACAAAGCAAAAATGGATGAATTTGAAGGAAAAATACACATTTCTATAAGAATAGTTGGACACATCAATGCCCCACCTTCGATGAGGGACACAACAACCGGACAGAAGATCAAGGACGCAGAGGACCTGAGCACACCATCAGGCCAAGCAAACACACCCAGAGCACTGACCTACAAACAGCAGAACATATGTACCCCCTTCTTGAGCGCCCAAGAAACATCTCCCAGAATAGATCGCCAAGTAGGACACCAAGCAAAACTGCGCTACGTTTTAAAAGATTGAAATTCTACAAAGTATCTTTTCTAATCACGATAGAATAAAACTAGAAACCAATAACAAAAAGAGGACAATTCCCAAATATGTACCAATTAACACATTTGGAACTAATGGGTTAAAAAAGAAGTCAAAAGGTATGGAAACAGCCCAAGAGTCCATTGATGGATGAATGGATAAAGAAGATGTGATACACACACACACACACACACACACACACACACACAGGAACATTACTCAGTCATAAAAAAGAATTTTTTTCTCTCATGAAAGAACCTAGAGCGTATTATGCTAAGTGAAATAAGTCAGAGAAAGACAAACACCATATGATTTCACTCCTATGTGGAATCTGAAAAACAAAACAAGCAAAAAAACCAAAAAGCAGACCCATAAGTACGGAGAACAAAGAAGAAGGGGATGGGAGGATGAATGAAATAGGCAGAAGGAATGAAGAGGTACAAACTTCCACCTGCTGACAAATAAGTCATGGAGATGAAAAGTATGGCATAGCGAGTGCAGTTAAGAACATTGTATAACAGGGCGCCTGGGTGGCTCAGTGGGTTAAAGCCTCTGCCTTCGGCTCAGGTCATGATCCCAGGGTCCTGGGATGGAGTCCACATTGGGCTCTCTGCTCAGCAGGAAGCCTGCTTCCTCCTCTCTCTCTGCCTGCCTCTCTGCCTACTTGTGATCTCTCTCTCTTACTCTGTTAAATAAATAAATAAATAATCTTTAAAAAATATCTCCCCTCGAAAGGAAGAAAATCAAAAGAGAAATTGGAAAATGCCTTGAGAAAAAAGAAAATGAAAACACCACACACTGAAAGTTATGGGATGCAGCCCGAACAGTGCTTAGAGGAAGTCTGTAGGTGTCAATGCCTACATGAAAGAGGAAGAAGGGGTCACCTGGCTGGCTCAGTCGATTGAGCCTGAAACGCTTGATCTCAGGGTCCTGAGTTCGGGCCCCACTGGGTAGAGATTACTTAAAAAAAAAAAAAGAAAGAAAGAAAGATCTCAAATCAGTAATCTGATTTTATACCTCAAGCAATTAGAAAAGGAAGAGCAAATTAAGCCCATAACTAGCAGAAGGAAAGAGACAATAAATATTAGGGTGAAGGGAAACACGGTGCGGGATAGAAAACAGAAAATCAATGAAACTAAAAGTTGGTTATTTGTCAACAAAATTGACAAATTTTTGACTAGACAAAGAAAAAGAGAGGAACTTAACATTATTAAAATCAGAAACAGGGGCGCCTGGGTGGCTCAGTGGGTTAAGCCACTGCCTTCGGCTCAGGTCATGATCTCAGGGTCCTGGGATCGAGTCCCGCATCGGGCTCTCTGCTCAGCAGGGAGCCTGCTTCCCTCTCTCTCTCTCTCTCTCTGCCTGCCTCTCCGTCTACTTGTGATCTCTCTCTGTCAAATAAATAAATAAAATCTTTAAAAAAAAAAATAAAAAAAATAAAAAATAAAAAAAATTTAAA